TATTAATATTGTATATAATTTTTTAACGTCCTTGTTAGCTTCGCCTGTCCATTCGCTGCCGTGTTTCTCTTCTCTTTACACACACACATATATGAATTAGTGTTTATTTATATAATTGTAGGTGCAGGAGCAGATGTTTTGCTTTCATGCCATACTATTCCCAAAATTATACATCAGCTACAACAACAATAACAATACACATCCTTTCCTCGCCATGCTGTTACGTTGGTTTATAAAAATAAAAACAAAAACATTCCAACACATGTGGTCCTGCGTATCTGTCCTGCTTGTTATTTTGTATAAGCATTTGAGCCGCAGGATCAGCTAATAGTTTTTGCAATTGGTTTCTGTCTTCATCTCTGCTTTGTTTTTTCATTTCGTCATTTTTCCCGCTACCTGCTATTTGTGTATTGTCTTTCTTTTCACACACACATACGTATACATATGTATATGTGTGAAACGCCAGGTGCAGTTGCTTTCTGCTTTTATACGGCTTTGTTTGTTGGAAAATGATGCACCTTTTGCTACATTTTTCGCCTTTCTTTTTTGTTGTTGCTGCAATTTTGTTTTATTGCTGGCAGTGATCATGCTACCTTTGTTACTACTGCTGTGCAGGCTTTATGGTCTTTTATTGTCTGCAATGTGCGCATGTACGTTGTTGTTGTTGTAGACATGTTTACCGCTTGAATGTTCAATGCTCGTGGATTTCTGTTTTGGTTCTTTGTCAAGGTGTGCTGGTAAACGAAAAGTAACCTGTGCTTCACCTGGTTAAGATTGAGCTCGAGCACTCTTTCAGCTGTTTAATTTTTAGTTATATCAATATTTACTATTCAAAATTTATGTTAAAAATAGTAATATCTATATATGTACATATATATATGTATGTGTTATAAAATTGTAATATTAGAATAATAAATTTAATATTTAATTAACACTTAAATATGAAAGTTAAATATAATTTATATATATGTAAGATACCAATAATAATTATAAACAGTAATTAATACAATAATTAGAAAGTAAAAAAATTTAAAGCAAAAAACTTATTTAGGACTCTTCGAAAAATTGAAAAAAGCTACAAAACCCGAACTTTTTGGGTGAATCTTTCCTTTATACTTTTAGGTAAACATTCACCCCAAGGACTTTTCGGCAGCGACTTTCAATTGATAGCCTAAATTTTTTCTTGCAGCGTTTTAACTAATTTGACAATTTCGGAAACAATAACCTAAATCTGGCAACCCTCTGTTTGAAAACTTCCGAAATGTCGAACAAAACGTATTTAGTCGATCCATAAGTTAGTCAAATTTCCACTCCTCTGTAACATTTACTGTCACTTCTATATATAATGAGCAATAGTTTGAAGATTAATAACTAAAACTGTGCTGCCCGCACAATTAAATTTGAGTGCAGCAATAAGTTGAGTTTTCTTTAGATCTACACATGTCTTAGATTTTTTTAGCGAGATTATTCAACTTCAAAAGTAGTCGTTTTCATCACGAAGTTTCATATACAAACATATGTATAGTGCTGCAACTAAGATTTGACGTCAACACTCCAACAATCTGCCAGAACAATAAAATCTGACACCAATTTGCCACTTCATCAGTCTTCTAGGATTGATGTTTTTGTAAAAATGGGGCTAAAGATTGTACAAAAGAGTGCATGCAAGATTTGATTTCCGTTGGTTTTTATAATGTTTTCGGAACATGAATTTTGGGCGGAGGCAGTACGCTTTTCTAATCACTGCAACTAAGTTATTATGACGTTTTAAATTAACTGAAAGCAAGACTGGGAATTATAGAAGTTTAATATTTAACATAATTGAAGGCACGGCTATGAAGCATAGATTAATATTAACGATAAGTTCTATTAAAAGCATAAATTAATATATTTTCAGATAAAAATGTGTAAAAAACTTTGCAAACATACTATTTTTCCAAAAGTTTATATGAACCTCAAACATAATAACTTATTTCCTGTTGCACTGAACTCAGGCTCATTATTTATACAGAATCTTTCATAAAAGCACCTCCATATATTCTATGGCACTCTATTATTTTCCTTACTCTAAACCTTTGCTATTCTCCTACTTCATTTTAATACAAAAAAGTATAAATACAAAAAAATCCCTGTCCACTTGCTTTAATTTTCTTACGCCGCCAGTTTGTAGATATAACATATCCAATAGTTTGTAAGTTTTCCTTGCCAAACGGCTGTTCATAAGTATATATCGACTGTGAAGATCTACGCATTTCTATCATCCATGTGTTTTTTCTCATTTCATTATATAAATTCGATTCAAATGTGCGCTGGCTCTTAAGCCACTTATGAGGGTTGTTTAAGGTGACCAGCTAAGGGATAAATTTTAATCACTAACTGAGATTAATATATATTTTTTATTATTATAAAATAATTACATTTATCGTTGAAAATCGCAGTAGCATTTTCAACATATTCCCCATTAAGATTTATTTATACACTTTTTTCAGGCGTTTTAACCAATTGTCAAAACACTTATGATACTCTGGTTGAGGTATCTCCAAAACATGCATTCTAAACGCATCAACCGCCGTTTATTTTTTACGTACGGGAATAAAAAGAAGTAAGTCGGTGCCAAATCAGGACCATACGGTAGATAACTAATCAAATTGATATTTTGCGTTCTCAAGAATACAGTTGTTTCAGACTATGTGTGAGGCGGTTGGTTTTCCTAATATTTTTTTGAAAGACAACTGAAAAATATTGTTGATGTACCACACAGAGTTGACTACGTTGTTCCAGTGGTATTGTTACGACATAACAATTTTTTTTAAAAAAACAATCAATCATTTGCTTGAAAGTGCTTCGTGTGCGAATAATTTTGGTTGATTTCGGCTCATCTTGAACCATCCCTACAGTCGATTGCTCTTTACTTACGAGCTCATACGCGTAAATCCACGATTCATCGATGATGAGATGAATATTTTAAGTTACCATATACAATAGCTCACGTATGCCAAAACTTTTTTAGTATGTATAACAAGAACTTTTCGACAAAGTTGTGAGTGCTGTCAAAATCCCGAAAAATGGAAAGCAACCTACATATTATATTCCTATCTTTATTATTACTAAAATTTCTTCATTTTAACTGGTCACCTTAAACTTAAGTCAGTCGGGAACACATATCTGCGCACAAATTTATGCTGCGCACGATCACTTTCAACGTCACTGTGTTGCGCATGCGTGGCAGTAGGAAGAGGCACTACCGCCACCGCTTTTAGTTTATACGTATCCTTGACGGCGTAAACACCTAGAAACGGAGTAAAAATGTTGTAGTGATTCGGACAGAAATGATATTGCATAAAGAATTTAACGTATAAACGTTTACTTCAATGCTGTGATTTACACATACTATTTAGCAAGTATTCTTTTGCTACCACAAGCGCGACAGAATGATCATTTGCATTTCGGGTTTTATAATTGGTGAAAGGTAACAAGAAATAGTAAATGAAAAAACTAACCAATCAATAAAAGTGTAATTGTTTAAATTAAATTTTAATGCGCCATAAAAAGCAAAATTTGCCGCAGTCTTCGTTTTATTTCGCCTGCATCTGGTTTGGCTTTCAAAACAGGTGTTCGTGTTTTTGAGTTTACCCAATAACAAAATAAATAAAGATCAAATAAAGAAATCAGGTGCAAAATATTGCATTACTTTATTGTATCGGCTGGTCTGTCGTCCCAATTCGTACAAAAGCCGATAACCGTGTGCCAACAAACAGACATAAATAAAGTAAAGGGTGACCTGATTTTTTCGTTAATGCACGAAAACAACGAAATAACTAACAATGTCTTGAAAAATTGCAACAAAAATCTATAAATATGCAATAATTTTATGAGATGTTTAAAAGTAGTTGCCATTGGCAAGCAGCTGCTTTCGAAAGTAATAAAAGCGCAAAGTAATGATAATAACAAATAAATGCTAATAAAAATGTATAGAAAGACAGTGTTGTGCAACAAATGCAAATGGCAAATGTTGTCTAAGAAATATGTATCGAAAACCGCAACTATTTTATTGGTGTGATTTAGTTTAAGTATCTGTGTATTTGTTGAAGTTGTTTTACAAAAATATAGTAACTTCTAAACCAAATTAAATAGTCCAATAATTGCTCTAACAAGTCAATGTAAATATTATGGAAGAAAATTAAAGAAATGACTGACAGTTTAAAAACAATGCAAATTTGATTATATTTTTTTTTTTTTTTTTTTTTGGTGTTCACAGTCTGCTGCCACATCTGCCAGTAGTACTCTTACTCCAGTTCTTATTTCGTTCCTTTTGAATTTGAATAGACGCCATGATCGATCCATATTCCATTATGTAACATTATTTGTCTGGTTGCTGAAAAAGCTGGAGATAGACTCCGTTAAGACTAAGATATATGTTTTTCGATTACATATCTACAAACAACCAGTGCGTATAAATTCCCTCTTTTTGGAGTCTAATTGTAGCGTTATACCTGATCTGGCTAGATGATATGCTTCAATTACCAGTAATATCACTATATCCTGGAACCCATTACAGATTTACCGAAAGGAAAATGTAACTCGTACTATTATTACTCAAGGACCATACCTAAAATGTGCCATTATCTCTTTCGAAGCAGCGTTTATAAAACGATGTTAAATCTGAGGCTTATGCTTTAGGGCTGAGGATTTAGATTGTACTAGTATATTTGAATTTTGCTTAGTAGTAAGCCATTTAGCACAGACTTTCAGGAGATCCACCTATCCACCTATATTTCAAGTAAAAACTAAGGCAAAAAGTAATGAACAAAAACAAGATAATTTTGTGAAGTAATTAATTTTGAATATTATCTTTGGCAGAATCTATATTGAAGAAAAATCTTCAATGTACTAAATTACAGTCGTAATTTAATTTATTTATTAGTTCCTTTATTTATTTAATTTTTCCATTTTACTTCTAGTAAGTAACTAATTGGAATTGAATTCTTTATATTTTCTAGTTTCCCACAAAAATCCATCGATCGTAGCGGTTCCACCCAATATGACATTGCTGCACCATCGGGCTCCACAACGTCCGGTTCCACATTGTCAACGGATTGTGGCGGCTATGTTTATCTGCAGCAACACTACATACCCTCGAGCTCTTCCAGCGCTGCTATAAATTATCCCGTAATGCAACAATCGCACATGATTTACCAGCAGCATCATCCACAACAGCAACAACAACAATATGCAAACTCGTGCCATCAACAGCAAATTGCACATCAGTCAGCAGCCGCTGCAGCAACGGGAACTGGTGAGTTGGACGCATAGGAATTTTTTTATACCATATACATATACATATGTGTTTATATCACTTATATGTATGTATGAATCATTATATATAGTAAATATATAATATAATATATCTTATGTAAACTGAACCGCTTTCATAATAAAAGTAAATTTTAAGTATGTGCTATAATTTGTATGTGTGAGAGTTAAAGTCGGCTTTACTAAGCACACTAGCTTTCACACTTACATACATAAACATATACTATATGTTTTCGAGTGCTTCAAATAATTTTTTTTGATTGACAAAAAAATTCTCCCTCTAGCCAGGCACTGTAGCTTAACTCTAAGCGGTCGCTTTTTATTAGTTTTCTATTCAATTAACCTCGGATTTTCGTTTTTTCATGCAATGTAAAATTTCACCAATTAATTTTCGTTTCTCAAAAATAACCATCATATATTCAGAAAATTGACTTTTCAAACTTAAAAAAAACCCGCGCCTGGCTTGAGGGAGGAGTTTTTTGTCAATCACTAACATTTGAGGGGGTAAGTGTTGAAAAAAAAATTGCATTTTTTTATACATATATTTCGGATATGTCCACTGAGCTTTATAACTTAATTATCTTCTCTTCATTTTTTATTCCTCTAAATTTTGATGTATTTCTTGGTAACATCCTTTTCATTATTTACACCCCTCCCCCCACACAGGTGGCATGCATCATGGCCAGCATGTGAGCTTACATCACCAGCATCATCATCATCATCTACTGCATGGCCATCATCATCATCACGGTGGTGCCGTTGTGATTGCCGGCAGCGGTGTTGGCACCGGCGGTGCGGTTGGTGTGGCTGGCAGCGGCGGTCCAGGCAGCACTTCACCATCAGCCATACAGCAAAATATGCATAAGAAGAATTCCATACGGAATGGGAGCGATGTGCTGAAGCGTGCACGTGCACAGACAGCGTAAGTCTTGATAAAAATCCACTTATAATTATTAATTTTTTTATTAGAGGTGAAAATGATTTGCCATTTACGTTGATACGGAAATATACTCTCTAATCAAAATGATATAGGCAACTGACAGTTTAATATTTAATTTTTATTATGAGTTTATTGATAAAAGAACTGTTAATAAGTAATTGAAGTCTAATATATCATGGAACATTAGGATTTTTCTGTTGAGCCTAAGGAACTAAAATACATGTGTATAAAAACAACAACGCGAATTTTGTTTTTGAAAAAAATATTTATTCATTTGTCTACTTTAATGTTGTCAAAATAGTCCTCGTTCGATATTATGCACTTATGCTAGAGCTTCTCCCAATCGTCTAAACATTTTTCAACCTCGAGTTTTAGGATAGTCTTCAGCTCTTTCACTGACTTTCAGCCCTCCGCCCTCAATGGTTCTTTTTATTTTAGGAAATAGAAAGGAGACACAATTAGACATTGCTAGCGAATATGGAGGTTGATGCATTGTTACAGTATTACTTCTGGACAAGAATTCACGAACTAGCAACGAAATCTAAGTAAGCAATATATACAGTTGAAAATTGTATCATAGATTATCAGAGGCATGTACATACACATATCATAATAAAGGGCTTAGTAAAAATGGGGCGTTACATGACACGTGTCTTAAAGGGAGAGATTCAACGCATAAATGAAATTCAGCCAAACAAACAACGACAAACGAGTGCGGAAGCCGTGGAGGCCATTTGCTGGATATGCTAATCCATAAATAACTCTATACTATATACTTTATGATTGAAAGACTAAAAACTGTGTGTTCTATTTAATTCCAATATTGCGTTATATAACCCTTTAAAATAAAAATGTTGGCCCGCAAAATCTTAAATATTAAAAGTCGGGTTATTGTTTTGCATATGACATCCAAAATAACTAATATAGTCTAAGGTGTCGCCTCGATATTTCCCCGTAAAAAACTTAACTTCGACAACACCAAATAATACAAAAAAATACATTAATTAATTATTAATTTCTTATTTAAGGCCCACCCTAAAGTCTTATTGACGTCATTCAACAACGACATTCCGGTGTGCTGTATTTTTGCACAAAATGTTTATAAATAACAATAAATAATTACAAGTAACCAAATCAGAAATGCATTTCTCACCTTTGTATTTGTACAAAACAGTCTGGATAACATTTTAGGAACATGTCTGCAATTAAAAATAAGAAAGAACATATTTGAAAGATCAACGCTATTTAGTGTAATTTCCCATATGTTGATATTTACGTGTCCGATGATATTATTAGGTACAGCTATGACCAAACTTAATGAACTACAGCAACTTCAAAAATGAAAAGGCATATATGTTGTAAGTAATGTAAATAACTAAGTATAATGTTATCTGATATTAAAAAGGCTTTCATAACATTTTCTAGGATCTATATAACATGTAGTAGTAGTATATTGTGAAAATAATTGTGAGGTTGGCCCTGAAATGTACGGAATTTCTAAACTTCAAATATACATACATATATCTTTCGCAAAAATTTAAAAGATATCGCGACAAAATATTACTCCTTTCGTTCCTTTAATATTAGAGAGTATCTTAGGTTAGACTTCGCCCACTCTTACTTTTGCTGCAATAAAAAAATATTTGAAAATTTTTAGTTATTATATAGAATATGTATAGACTTTTATATAAATGATCTCTTTTTAGAAATGAAGATTTATTTTTAATAAAAAACAGCAGTGTTCTTAAATTATTTGACGGTAGTGTCTAAATAGTGTAATATGGGCTCTATATTCGGTGTTAAAAGTTTATGGGCCAAATACATATGTCTTCATTATATAAACTTAACCAGGTAGTTATCTCTTTTTTTTTTTTTTTTGTTTTTTTAATGGAGCCTGGAGAGTCCTTTCAGGTTCGTTAATCCCGAATTTTGTCATATGTTGGAATTATCACCATGACGGTAAAAATTACGAATGTTTAGGCATAAATTTCCCCGATTATTGTGATTACTATTATTATTTTTTTTGGCTAAAATGTTTTTAAAAATAATATAAGAATATGTCCCCAAATTTTTAGATGGGAATTCGAAATATTTTCGAAGCTAGAAGGGAAATAGTGACCGAGCGTCTAGCAATTATATGACCGATTGGGCAGAGAGTGAAAACTTTGACGCACGATTTCTCGGTTGTTCATTTTTACGATTTTGCTTAATTGGCGGGCAGGATAGAAAAACAACTAAATGTTGTATGGAATTGGGGCAGAGTTTACTATCTTTGGCATTCAATTATCTTTTATTTAAACTAAAAAAAACTAAGAAAAGTAAAGTTTGAACATATTTTTAAACAACACAAAGTTAAATTTTTTTGGTCAAAAACCAATTTTTTCTCAATTCTTAAAAAGAAGATAAATTACTATAAAATATGGATTTGTAAATGATATTTAAACATATAACTACAAGCCCTAGAAATTTCGCTTGTTTCTTTCCCTCCCAAAAAAAACCTCAAAAAAATTAATTTTTTGAATTTTGGGTTAGGTGTAGTCAGAGGCACGAAAAAATTACAATTTTCAGTAATTTTTTTTTTTGGCTGTTAAATCGGTTATTTTACATAAGTAGTAATATGGCCTTATTATATAATGTGTTGATTTGAAGTCACAGAAATTTCAAAAAAAAAGTTATTTCCAAAGTTATAGTTTTTTGTGTTGACCCTGTTCCAAAAAAAGTACTTGTGTTAACAACCATAACTCCTTGGAGATTAATCTAAAATCAATCGGACAAAAATTTTGTTTTATAAATAGGTAACCCTGGGCCTGATCGAAAGTTTATTATGTATTCTAAAAGCTGTATAAATTTCATTAAAATCTACTGAGCGGTTTTCGAATTACAGTTGTCGCCAGTTCAAAAAATTTGGTTTTGAGAAAAACGCGTTTAAAGTTTCACTCTAGAGCTTTGAAGTGCCGAACTCTCTTTGTTATTTGTCGAATAACTCAAATACTAACTATCGGACCAACGTGAAATTTTCACGGAAATGCAAAAAAAAATATTTATTATTTATTATTATTTATTATATTTATTTGTATTTATTATTTTTTTTTTTAATTCTGACTACCGCTAACCCTCTAAGTTATAAGACCTTCCCAAGTTTATTTAATTTGACAGTTTGTTTGATAGGTTTCGCTCTAGAAAATTTTATATTTCGTTGTAACTTATTCTGAATAAATATTTTTACTTTAACAGCTGCTTTGACAGCCATCCCCCAGCAAATCTACGCTTATAAAAGACACCATTCATATGTGTATGGTATATGTCTAAATAGAGCTTTTGTTTTGAGCTTATCAGCCGCTGTTTTTCTAGCTGCTTTTTTTCGTCGTATCGTACTTTACTATAAGGGATTTCGCTGAATGCCTTATTATCTTATTATGGATTATGAAAACAATTGCCACTAACACTTCACAGACACTTTAATAGCTCCGAATCTTTATCGCGTCAGCCGATCGCTTTATTATATGATAACAATTGTTTATTTCTTAGCATTTAATTAGAGTTAGCTGTGTCAATTGATTAATTTTGTTTTCTCTTTTTTTTTTTGTTTCAATTATTTCTAGGTTTACTTTTTAAAAAATTTCTCAACTATTTTTGCCTGCGCACACATTGTGATTTTCGCAAATATGTTTAGAATTTAAATATCATCATAAAGTGATCATAAATGTTACAAATTGTTTGTGTAAGAATGACAAGCATGAGCAGATAAGATAAAATTTTCAACAAAAGTATTTATCTTATCGCGCATAACCGCAAAGTGGAAAGCAAAAAAATATTAAAATTCACACAGATGCGCAACAACACGAATACCTACACGCAGGCGCGTAAATTTGTGCAAAACAAATTAACAATTGGGTTTTTAGTGTGTTGGTCGGCAGCGGACCTGTGGCTTGTACGTCAGCGCTCGTATGACGCGCGCGCTTTGAAGTTATATTTGTAAAAAATTTCATTTTAAACTTTTGCCTTCAGTAGTCGAAAGATTCCAGAGCCCTACCGACCTTTCAGCTCCCACGTCGGTGCCAGTTTCAGCAAAAGTGTGGCGTAGCCAAAAAGAAGCGCCTGCGCCTAACAATTATAGAAACAGTCAGCAAACTAATCAGCGATCAATACATATACTATAACTATATATGTACATATATAAACATATTTATATATATATGTATATATATACCTATCTGTTACGTGTTATTTTCCGATTTACGCCGTTTTGCTTTTGGCAATTTTCGATTTTTTGAAAATTTTTGCTTTTCAAATATACATACGCGTCAATAATTGATTACTTGTACTTATGTGTGTAGGTAGGCATAATAATACATATGGGCTTGTAAGCTATTTTTCTTCGATTTTTGTTCTTGTTGCTTTGTATTACAGAATTTTCACGTTATGCAATGCCACTTTAAGCATTTCGCTGCCAAGTCTCACTTATACGCATACAAATAAACTTACATACAGCCGTTATAATAATATCTTCTTCTTCTTTGTCTACCACAGATACGAGCTCTCACAAGATTTGTTGGAGAAACAAATTGAATTATTGGAGCGAAAGTACGGCGGTGTGCGCGCACGTAATGCAGCCGTAACGATACAGCGCGCCTTCCGCCACTATATGATGGTGAAAAAGTTTGCCTCAATTACCGCTATGGCCAAAGCTGAGAAACGTCTTAGCCGCCGCGTACTTATTGTATCTGGTGGCGCTGGTGGTACTGGTGCCGTAGTTGGAGGCATCGAAGACGTGCCTGCTTCCAATTCGTCATTATCCTCAGCATATGGCAGCGCAACTGAATCTCAGCTAGATTTGATGCAGCAACAGCAACAACAGCAATTACAATCACCGGGCACTACGTCACCGTATGTCTATCAACAGTCACAAACGCAACAACAGCAGCAGCAACATGCGCGTGTTACCATTTTGGCAGGACCACCGGGCAGTGTGGTGGGCGCCACATCGGTGCCAATTGTGTCGTCGAATGCCATTTCAGCGCGTACACCGCCCACCCGCTCGCTGTCGATGCGCGAGCGTCGGCAGCAGGATGGCAGCCCGATACCGCGCAGCCAGTCAGGTGAGTCGTGATTGAGGCTTTTCGGGTTTTAATTGTTAGTTTATTACGTATTATGTTCCAAATTTTTTGTGTCTTTTTATTTTAAATAAAATTTTCTACCTCCTTTCTTTCTAACATTTCTCTTTTTTTTTGCCCATTTTTTAGGCGCATCATCGGTTCCCATTGGTGGCGGTGGTGGCTCCTCCGCATCTTCAACATCTTCCGGCGGCACACTTGGTTCAACCACACACCCACACGTCAACCTCTTACATGCCACCGAGCCACATTTCTACGGCAGTCAACATCTAGCCACACATTATTATCAAGTCCCACCACACGAGGCCAGTTACGCCAGCTCGGCGAACAATTCGCACTTGGACAGCTCGTTGAATACGTCGTGGGCGAGTGTAGCAAGTGGAACATCGCCACACACACCCTACTATTCAGCGGCACAAATTTACATGCGACCCAAAGGCGCGCCCGGCAGCACATCGGCCGAACGCAAGAAAGTGCCACCCGAAGTGCCGAAGCGCACTTCCTCTATAGCAGCACAACAGCACGCACAGCATCTGGCAGCACAGCAACAACATCAACACATGCTAATGATGCGTCAGACACCACCACCACCATCACTATTACGCTCGAACGGGCTCTGCAAAAGCGCCGAGAATGGCAGTCTCACATCCGTGCAGAGCTCGGGTAGCGACTCAAGCGTCACATCGGCCGATCGTATCGCCGTCAACAGTGACATTGGTTCGGATCGTTCGAATTCTCCACAAACGTGGAAGCGTAACACAGCCCTCTCGAGTTCACAACAATTCGTACATAACAATGATGTGGGCACGGTGGCATTTAGTCTAGCACAGGCTGGTATGGTGACCGACGGACGTGGTGGTGGCAGTGTTGTTGGCGCGGCCAATACGTCCGATGATCATGCCATATCTTCACACACAACTGCAGCGCAGTATGAGCAGCACGAACAGCAACAGGACCATCACTTGAATACGACGGCGCCTCTGCAGAATTACAAGGTTTCAGAAACAATACGCAAGCGTCAGTACCGCGTTGGTTTGAATCTGTTCAATAAGAAACCAGAGAAGGGCATCACTTATTTGATACGGCGTGGCTTCCTCGAAAATACGCCACAAGGTGTGGCGCGCTTTCTTATCTCGCGTAAGGGTTTGTCGCGACAGATGATCGGCGAGTATTTGGGCAATTTGCAGAACCAATTTAATATGGCGGTGTTGAACTGCTTCGCATTGGAGCTGGATCTTTCCGGTATGCAGGTGGATGTGGCGTTGCGCAAGTTCCAAGCGTACTTCCGCATGCCAGGCGAAGCACAAAAGATAGAGCGGCTAATGGAGGTGTTCTCACAGCGTTTCTGCCATTGTAACCAGGATATTGTTGGGCGTTTAAGATCTTCAGATACGGTAGGTGAAGAACGCTTTACGATTGAATGATTATTAAAGTTCTAACCTTCTCTCTTAATAGATATTCGTTTTGGCTTTTGCTATCATCATGCTGAACACTGACTTACATACACCCAATCTTAAGCCGGAGCGTCGCATGCGCGTTGAAGACTTCATTAAGAATTTGCGTGGCATTGACGATTGTCATGATATCGAGAAGGATATGCTCGCTGGCATTTACGAGCGCGTCAAAGCTAATGAATTTAAACCCGGCAGTGACCATGTGACACAAGTGATGAAGGTGCAGGCCACAATTGTGGGTAAGAAACCTAATTTGGCACTACCGCATAGGCGGCTCGTTTGCTATTGCCGTCTCTATGAAATACCCGACGTCAATAAGAAGGAACGTCCTGGAGTACATCAACGCGAAGTTTTCCTCTTCAACGATTTGCTAGTGATCACCAAGATATTCAGCAGAAAGAAGTCCTCCGTAACGTATACGTTCCGTAATAGCTTCCCACTTTGCGGCATGGTGGTAACATTACTCGACGTAGCCAATTATCCATTTTGCATTCAACTGTCACAAAAAGTCGATGGCAAAATACTAATCACATTCAATGCGCGCAACGAGCACGATCGCTGCAAATTTGCCGAGGATCTAAAGGAGTCCATCAGCGAGATGGATGAAATGGAGGCATTGCGCATCGAAGCCGAATTGGAGCGCCAGAAGTCAGCACGCAATCGTACAGCCGGGAGTTCTGAAAACCGTGATAGTGGTGTAGCCGATGTAGAGGTGGGCGCGTATCAGGCAACACCCGCCGGCGAACTCGCACCGAATGCAAACGATCCAACGCAGCAACTGAAACGCAGCGCGCTCAGCAACAGTTTACTCGACATGCATGAGCAATGTAGGTATCAATGCATATAATTATAATTTTATTTTTTCATATAACTACAACTAATGTTATTTTGTTACCATTTACAGTTGGCAACGAGAAGCCACAACGGCGCGGTAGCGTAGGTTCATTGGACAGCGGGATGTCCATTTCCTTTCAATCGACCACCACAAGCAGCGCATCGCGTGAGAATGCCGCCGTCATTGCAGCAGCCGCCAATGCCGCCGCGGCTAAAATGCGCTTCAATCTACCCGCCGGCGCAGCAGTCGCGATGGGAGGCAATGTAGGTGCCACGGTCATTTATCCAAATGCAAGTGGCGCCTATTCACATGCGACAGCGGGATTTGTCAGTCAACCACATGCTATACTTATACAACAACAATTGGTGGCACAACAGCAGCAGCAACAGCAACAAATACAACAGTTACAGCAGCAACCGCAGCAATCGGCGCTGCTGCAACAGCAACAACAACAGCAAGCGCATTCATCAATGCAGGGTTCGATTACAGGGCGCGTGCCGGGTAGCGGACGCGAGCGCAAATTATCGCGCTCCGATGAAAGCGGTCGTTCCACCGAAGTGTGAACATTGAGAGAGTAACGTCGCTTGCAGGATTAAATGAAATAACTGTATGTACTTTAAGGGAGGGAGTGATTTTTTTTTTTTGTAAATTTGTAGGGGTGTGTAAATTATTACCAAAATAGTTCAATTCTTTAATTAAGCTTATGGAAAGTGTAAGCAAGCTTCGGTTATGTGGCATATTGGAGAAAAGTATGGCTCAACAAATGTTTTATTTTCTTTAAATTAAATTTAGTTCACAATATAAGATTAATTGTTCAGTTGAAAGTTATGTCCGAGAATCAAGCTGGTAAGCAAAGCACAGTTGAATTGTGATCGTTAGCTGCTACTAACAATTTACTTGGATTTTTCCTTATTAAAACTGCTTAAATATGATTCGAAAAAGCTGTATATTATAGTAGTGACAACAACAACGTCTTAAATACTATTTTAGTGTGGTTTAAAACCAATGTTTGTTCTGTTTTAATAGATTTTATGCACTGTAATGATTTTATTTGTAAATATATATATATATATATATATATATTAATTGAAATTCAAATAATCATAATAAATAATAATAACTATTTTTATTTTTTTGGTGAAATTAAAAGTTTTATATTTCGATTCAATCAAATTTAATAAATCGAGAAAAGTATTGATATCGGAAAAGTATTTTTTGATTTAAAATTAATAATATGATTCGAAATGAAGTAACCTTATTGTTAATATCGAAAAAGTAATTTTAGCTTTCGAATCAATTTGTTTTTTGTTTGAATTTGAATTTTTGGAGAAGAGTAAGGGTTAAATCTATGGCAATATAACTTATATGAAATAAGCGTAAAGAAAAATTATGTCTTTGTTGAATACACTTTAATTGAAGTTGCAACTTTTTTAATTTTCAAAACGAATTGAAATTTTATTTAGATATGAAATTTAAAGTTTATAAGTTTAAATTTTTGTTATCATTTGGGTTTGAGTTGCTACAAATTATTATTTAATTTTTTGGTTTTTGTTCTTTTTATTTTTATTTTAGAAACCAATTTTCATTCTTATAATTTCAAAGATTTCAATGAACAATAAACAAACATGTTATGAAAATATACACCAATTATTTCTGAATCTTTTGATTTCTCTTAAAATCATTTCAATATTAAATAAATTGCCGCTTCAACATATTATTTTTTTTAATATTAACTAATTAAAAAAAAAAAAATGTATTCAAATACTTTTTTATGTCTACTATTAAACACGGCATACATTTTGCTCTTTCTACATATACAGATAATGATTTTTGTGCAAATATTCGGTTGTCTGCAAAGTATTTATATCATAGTTTTACTGTGGCTCCTGGGGGTTTAAGAAATACAGTTATTTGCCAAAAACACAAAAAAAAAATAAAATAAAATTCTTAGTCATAGATATGATATACATACGTGAACAGAATTTGAAAAAACAGTTTAATTTGTATATATCAAACAAAGCAGGCGAGGATCTACAACACTTACTTTATTTGCTGTTCACTTGTTTTTGTATATGTTTATGCTCGTTGATATATTATTTTATGTATCATATACACATATATATCTTGCATATCTATTTTTTGATTAATTTAACACAAATGCGTATATGGGTATTATTTATTTGTACATTAACATTACAAAGCAGAACAAAAAACCAAAATTGCAACAACAAAATATAAAAAATAAATAGTGAAAACAATATTAATTAATACTAGCCTTGGCATCGTACAGATCCAAATATTACCAAGAAATAAACCATAAAAACTCAACTTATTCATAAATTGTTTTTTTTTTCTTAGTTTTTGTTTTCGAGCAAGCAAATTTAAAAATTAATTAAATTTAGCATAAAACTCTTACTGCACTAGCTATATGCATGCGTACATAAATATATATTATTAAAAAATATTAATTATTATAGGAGTATAAATATGTATATAAATATAATAATTCTAATAATCAAACAAAACGATTAAAAAATAATTATATATTAATCGTAATGATGGAAAGCTAAAGATTGCATTTTTCTCATATACATACAGGGGCATACAAGTAAACTTCAATTAATGTTCCTTTTTCCGGTATGAATTCATATATTTATTAAATAATAATAAATACATAAAAAACGTTTTACAAATATTTTTTTTTTTTGTTTTTTGTTTGTACATAGTTATAAAATGTATACATACAAACAAAGTCATATGCACGAGACTGCTGGGCACGTAGCTGCAGGTGCAGGTTTGAACAAAAACCAATATAAAATTAAAAACAAAAAATAATGTTTTATTGTATGCTCTGATTTCTATCACTTATCGCCGGTATTTGTGTACATATGAATAAATAATTATTCAACATTATTAGTAAACAATACTTGAGTGAAAAGTAAACACACGAGAAAGCAAAATTACAAAAATACGATAAAATATTTCAAATAAATTCTAGCAAGACTAAAAACTTGAATTAAAAAATTAAAAGTAATATAAAAAATTACTAGCATGACTAAACATTTAAGGCCAAATTTAACGCGTTTTCGTCAATATATGAATTATGTGTCTTTATGTATGTATGTATAGCTTATTCGACTAATATACATATTTATGTATGTGTAAGTGATGTAAGCGTATTCCATTTTTTCGAAAATCAAATATTTAATATATAATATTTAATGTTAATTACGGCATTAGTTATAAAAAAAAAGATAGATAATAATTTAGCAACAAAAAATATATGAAATAATACCATTAAACAAAGACTTAGGCTTTTAATACTAAATTAATGATCTGAAATAAAAAACAATAATGTTACACACTTTTGTCGAAACTATATTGAAAGGTGTATATTATTGTTGTAGCATGAGAAGCGTTCACATATATTTTTTTGTTAAGGTATCCTGGATATGTAGAGCAGGTTTCCCTCCGCGTGGTTGGTGTTACGCTAAATGCCCTTCGACCTTTGGACTCCTAAAGACTTTTCACCTTTTGCTTGACACGGATCTTGCTTAGGACTATAGGCTCCTCCTTTACGCCGTAGGGAAGATGAAACCATCTCCCGTGAAGAATGTAAGAATGTAAGGTAGCAGCTGATATTTCCGTTTCTTTTTTTTTGTTTTTTTTTTGTTTTTTTGTAAAAGTGATCAGGGGAAGTCCTGAGACATCACCTGGTGCGAAGGTACCTGGTGGCCTCGTGCTTCTGTCGACTTCCAGCCACATACTTTAATCCTTCTCTACCCACCCAAAACGGGAAATCATTTAAGCTGAAAAGTACCGAGGAACCATCCCAGCAAGCACTGATACACCAAAACCAGGAGCCCCCCGCATTTTTCAGTGTCGCAAAGGGGGCCATAAGCTATGGCTTTGAGAGAGTAGTCCTCAGGATACTTCCGACGGAAGCCATGGTGGATGTCCCGTTGCCGCTGAACACGGAGGGTGCACAGTCAACAGATGATGCGGAACTCGCACTGCTGTAGTAGAGTTTGGAAGCTGAAGATCAAACAAATTATTCTCCAGTGCGAAAAAACGTCTTCCGCCAGAAGCAAATTTAATGTTTTTTTTTTACCCAATTTCAGCATCGAAATGTCGCCACTGCTAAGATACGAGTAGAAGACAATCGGTTGTGTTGTGAAACCATGTCAGATTTGCAACCTAATCTGTTTTTTAATTTTGATACAGAATTTGATGCCCAAAATAAACTTGAAAACATTTCATGAATTTAAAACACTATTATTACTATTAAAGTTTACAATGAGTTTCGCTAATTCAGGCTTCATTTTATAGGAGGAGGAATTCAATGAAGAAATTAAAAGAGAGATTTAAGATCATAAGTGAAATTTTTTTTGCATTTATTTGGTCGCTTTCTGTACAAATTTCTTTATTTACTAAAACTAATGCTAGACCAAAATAAAATCGACGATAAACTGAATAAGGCGGAGAAATTCGTAAATAGCAGAATAGTCGAGTGGGAAAGTATTTTTTAAGATGTACTATATAAGGGTTGCCGAATTGTCCAAGAGACACATTTCTAATTAAAGTGTTGCTTAGTAAATAGCTATATGTAAGTAAGAAGTTGTATATTCGAATAACGGGTAATAAGAGTTAAGTTGTTTGAGTAAGAAATAATGGTAACTGGAACTTTTATTTGAGCTACAAAGTAAAAAATTTTTCAAGAAATCCCTTGCATTTGGTGTCACAAGTGGGATTGAATTGGATGAATTGAAAGGTCGTCTCCGCGAGCTACAATTAAATAAGCCAATTATGACTACTTCTTCTTTATTGGCGTATTCTTTTCGCTACGTGGCGCCAATTGGATATTCCAAGCGAAGCCAGGTCTTTCCAACGGAGTGAAAGTCTTCCTCTGCTTTCCCCAGCGGGTACTGCGTCAATTATGACTACAACTTCTGTCAAAGTAAAACCTCATTCACGATTCAGTCCCATGTTTTTAAGCTGCAATTCGAAAAGATGGCATTAAGGAAATGTCAAATCCATCCAATCGTTAAACGAAATCGAAATATCAGTACAACTAAAGCGAAGACCAAAAAGACAGCGGACTGGCTCCCGCAAGCTAATGCCCTTTAATTTCCATTTCACAAATAAGCAGAAATACGAGAAATGTTACCTTGAGTGGATGTGTAGACGGCAAAAACTGTATAGTGATCGCGGATGCGGGAGCGTCACATTTTATTATTCGATCTGGGACAAAGATGCATACTGCATTGGACAATTTAATCTTAGCAGATATCATCGATGATGTCATAATTGGAGTAGACTTTTTAGCAATTCCAGGACTAAAAATTTATGTGGAGAACAGGATTATGACCTATACAAAATTATATGAGAATATGATATCAAATACAACATTAAACATGTGTTAATAACAAAGAACAAACAGATTCCACTAAAATCAGAAGCAGTTAGTAGGGTAGAAATAGATGGTGGCTATGAGAGAAACAAGTTGTGGACTGTTGAGGCCACAGAAGAATCTATACTCATAGGAAAAACCCTGACTATGACAGAACAAGATAATCATGTTCTAGTAAGAAAGTTGAAGTGACCAATCAAACTATCCGGAGGAGGTATATTAGAACGGTGTCAGAAGATTGAAGAATAGAGGCAACCCCTCAAAATAAGGCTAAACAACTTCAATATCTTAAGAACTTGGAAAAGGTTTTTCGACGCACGCACTCTCTGAATAATCGGTTAAATACTGAGGCATACCCGGTCGCAAGATCTGTTTTTTTTT